AGGAGCCCAGAGGAGGGGGCAAAGGAGGTGAGGGGGTGGGGGCAGAAAGTGGAAATGAAAGCAGACAACAGAACATTTCTAGAGAGCAGGAAAGGAGGTGAAAGGAGACAATTTTAGAGAAGAAAATCTTTTGGTCACTTCCCGGATTGGAACCCCGGACCTTTGAATGAGAGGCCAACACTTAACCTCTAGGCCACGAGAGCCCCCCTTTGTAAATATGTTGATTGTGCTAGCAGTGGTGGTCGTGGTGGTACTGGTGGTGGGGTTTGTGGTTGAATGAGTGAGGGAGAAAGCTGGATTTGGGGTGGGGAGGGGGCAGCGCTAATTAGCATGGGGTAGGGCAGTTGTGTGGTAATTGGAGAAGCCTGTAGACTTTTTAATGAGTATTTAATTACTCTTTGGCTTGACCTAAAAGTGCTCAGTGTGTTTGGCATGGGTCAAAACTGAAGGAAAAATACACATTTTGTCTTTGTGTGTGTGTGTGAGTGAGTGAGTGAGAGAATGAGTGAGAAAGAGAGAGAGAATGAGTGAGAAAGAGAGAGAGAATGAGTGAGAAAGAGAGAGAGAGAGAGAGAGAGAGAGAGAGAGAGAGAGAGAGAGATTATGATCTTAAAGTTTGAAAACTTTTTTGATGAGCAGAAGAAATTAGCATTTATGTTTCAGAGTGTTTAATTACTAGAAATGTGTGTCTAAGGGTGATAGTTATAGAACTTGTGTTTGCCAGTGTGTGTTCGTATGTAAATACATGCTCATTGTTACTATGCTTTCTCTTGAATATTCTCAGCAGACTTATAAAACTGTGCAGTGCAGCTTGTCTATAACGACCTTTGATATAACAACTGTAATGAGATCCTCTGTATAGCGACATGGTGTCCAGGTCCTGATTTTTTCCTTATATTATTAATAACTTTTGGTTGCCTCTCTATAACGACAGCTCTATATATATATAACAACATTTTTTTTCTGGTCGTTATAGAGAGTCTGCCCTGTATGTGTGTCGGCTGTGAGTGTCAAAAGTATTTTTAGCTATTGGGACGGGAAAATGTTTCAAACATCGATCGACAAGAGAATCTTTAAGACTGACCTAGAAAAGTTTGCTTTGTTATTGATCATTGAAGAATGTGTTTGTCTGAGCATGTTTGAGCATGTTTTGCTCGTATGATGTTGAGCATATGTCACCTCATGTGAAGAAGCTCTCTAATAGGTGGTTGGAGGGTGCTACTGGTGTGTATTTTCCCGTCATTCAGACCCATTATCTCATGTGTTTGTGTATTTGTGTGTTTATTTGCGTGCATGTGTGTGTGAGAGAGAATCCAAGAGAAAGGAGAGTGATTTATGTGTTTGTATGTATGAGAAAAAGAGAGAGAGACAGAGAGAGAAGCATGGGCATGAGAGAGAGA